TTTACAGTGTACATTTCTTTAATATGTTCACAGGGTTGTGTAACCATCACCATGTGAGAACATTTTTATCCTCTTAGAGAAACCCTGCTCCTATTAACAGTCAATCCCCATGTCTCCTTTCTCCTACTCCCAGCCCTAAGCAAACATTAGTTTCCTCTATACATTTGCTGATTTTGAACATTTTGATATAAAATGGAATCATACAACGTGTCATCTTTTGTAACTGGCATTTTTCACTTAGTGTAATGCTTTTAAGGATGATATACATGACATGAATCAGTATTTCATTTTTTATTGTTGAATGACATTACATGGTAGGGATCTAACACATTTTATTTATCAGTTGATGCACATTCAGGTTATTTCTGCTTTCTTCATGAATCATGCTGCAATGGGCATCTTTGCAGAAGGTTTTGTGGGACATACAGTGTGTGCAAACATAGGTTTACAGTTGTTTGTATGGAAAAAGTCATTACCTGAAAGATAAATCATAAATAAGGATATGAAATAATAAAAATAAAAATAAAAATAATAATAAAATAACACAATAATACCAGAATAAACTATTTTGCATATTCACAATTGTAAATCTACTTTACCCACCCTGTATGGTTTCATTTCTTCTGGGTTTATACCTAGGAGTAGAATTGGATGATATGGTAACTTTAAACTTAAACTTTTTAGGAACTTTCAGGTATTCCAAAAGAGCTGTGCCATGTTACACTCTTGCTACAACATATGAGGGTTCCAATTTTTTCATCCTTGACAGTGGTATCTCATTGTGGTTTTGATTTCCTTTTCCCAAATGACTAATGATGTTGAACATCTTTTCATGTGCTTATTGGTCATTTTTACATTTTCTTTGCAGAAATGTCTGTTTTAGTCTTTTTCTTCTTTTTAAATTGGTTTATTTTTTTTTATTATTGAGTTGTAAGAGTTCTTTTCAAATTTTAGATATAAGTCCCTATCAGTTGCATGATTTGTAGGTATTTTCTTCCATTCTGTGGGATGTCCTTTACTTCTTAATGATGCCCTTTGAAACACAAAAGTTCTTAATTTTGATCATCTAGTTTATTGTTTTTCAAGTCTAGTGTTATATCTAACAAACAGTGCCTAACCTAAAGTAATGAAGATTTGTTTGTATATTTTTTCCTGCAAGTTTTACAGTTTTTGTTCCTTCATTTAGGTCTTTAATTCATTTTGAATTAATATGTATGTGGGAAGTAGAGTTACAACTTTAATTTTTAATGCACTAATATTCATTTGTTCCAGTACCATTTGTTTGACAAGGTGTTGGCACCCTTGTCAAAATTATTTATGGGTCTTCCCTTCAGGGCTTCTTACATGTTTCTAGTGGTTCTCACATGAGATAACTTCTTGCTGGTTTTCATAAAAATTGATTGATTAAGTTTATTTCATGACTATATATTTGGTAGGATAACCTGTCACCCCTTGATTTTTTTAACAATTAAGATTTAATCAGGCTTTGAAGTACTGTAGAAACTACCAGAAACCAGTTTGAAAAAGCCAGCCTTGAAGATGATGTGCTGTTGTTCTGTCTTGCATACATCTTTCTTAAGACAGATTTACTTGTTTCCTGTGTGGTAAGCAGTAACAGGGGTGGTGGGATGAATAAGAATCATGGATTGGGGTTATAACATTTGACAGTTTACATTGTGTTGAATCTTACTATGATGAATTGAGTGATTTGAGACTTGACGATAACTAATGTAAAGCAGGTTACTAGAAGCCTTGGAAAAAATAACAATCACTTGTGTGATCAGGAATCTCTGATTTTTGAGGTCAAGCTTCCTCTTTGGTATTGGTGAATCTGAAGGGTCTAGAGTAGTGCTATTCAGTACAATTGTAGCCTCCAAAGTATTCTAGTAGCTACATTAACAAAAGTAAAAAGAATCAGTTAAATTTATTTTTAATTTTTCATTTAATCTAAAATATCATTTTAACATGTTATAAAATAAAATTATTAATAAAATATTTTACATTTTTTAACTAAATCTTGGAAAATTCAGTACATATTTTACACTTAGAGCATACCTCAGTTTGGAGTAGCCACATTTAGAACCCACATGGGGCCATTGGCTGCTGTGCTGAACGGCACAGTTCTGGATGTTTTGATAGATAATCAGTTGAAATACTGCATCAACATTACTCAACTTCCTTTCTACTTCAGTGTACCCTGACACCTCCCTTTAACTTGATACCTGTGGCTCTGAGGGGAGCTTTTTATCTGCTTGCTCAATGGGACCCTCACTGGTGGGATGAGAAGTGCATGCTCTCTGAGACCAGAGGGTCTGAGAACTTTGTTGACCAACACAGGCAACTCACCAAACGGATAAAGAATAATTGAGAGACATGCATTCTGACAAAGGTTCTTGAACCTCCCACAAGAGAAAAATGGGATGTGAAAATTAGAATCTCCTCTCTTTTTACATTCTACCCCGTTGAGGTAAAGCTTCATATAGAAAATACTACTTGAGAACATGTAGGCATGATTTTGCACCAGGGAATTGGTCAGTGTTGGGACACAGTTTTGATGATCACAACTAGAGGTTGGTGTGTTTGTGCTACTGACTGTAATGGTAGAGGCCAGGGATGCTGACAGCATCTGCAGCATACAAAACAGCCCCCATGACCATGAGTTGTCTGGCCCAAATGTTGGTCGTGTTGAGCACAAGATGCCCCACACTATAGAACAAAACCCTCCAGTTCTCCTTCCATTACTTGTTACATGGTTTCTGCAAGGAATGTAACTTGTTTTTCTTTTACATTTAGAGACTTCTTTTTTCATACAGTTTCTAAGGAAGAAATAGCCAACTTTCAAAGTATTTCTGTTGGAGCCAATGTGTCAGGTAGAGAGATTCCACCCACACTGCTGAAAACTGTGTCTCTCACTTCCTCTTGCCTCTGGGGAAGTGGCAGAGCTGCTGCTGGTGCCCTGCCTCCCCTTTGCCAGGTCTCTCCTTTGCCTGGGACAATTCTACTTTCAGTTGAGGGCATGTTTGTTCAGAGAACACATATTTGCAAGGCTGCTAGAAAGGTGATTGCACTTCCACAAGGTCTGCTGGAATTTTGGGCTGTGTTCTGGCAGTGATGTGGGTGTTTGGTTGTGATATTCCCTTTCATTTCTCCATCAGGAGGGATGGTTCACTCAGGAGTGCCATCACCACCCTGCTCCAATGTCTGCTAACCAGGGAGCTGTAACTTTGAGTCTTTGTACATTCTAGCATGTAGAAATCAATACAAGTCATTTTTGGTTGATAAACATTCTTTTTATAAGTATTTAGTCATACTTGACAGCATTTGCCATTAAGGTTACTAATGGGGTATGATCCCCACCCCTTCCTCATGACTGCTAGTGTCTCCTCCGCTGCCTTTCACCCTTCTCTCCTTCATTGCTTGTGGCAGTTTGAGTTTTTGGTAGGAAACCACATAAATCAGCTGTAGCTAATTTAGGCTGAAGTCAGTGTAGTAAGGGCTATTTGGGGACTCTTAGACTGGCAAGAATTTAGAGGTATACCTTAGAAAGGGGCAGTAGGGCAACTCCTCTGTTCTTGCCTCTTAGTGCCAGCTCTAGGTGTACACTTGCATCCTATGACAGCTGACCCTCTCCAGGTTCTAGGGCTCAACAGTGAGCTTTGGCTCTGTGCCTTAGACTGCGTACTGCAGTGAGGAGAGAGACTGGAACCAGTCTTCCATTGTGCAGAAGATGAATACTGCACAGGCCCCCCCCCCCCCGAATGTCAGTTGTCCACCACCTAAGGGCCTAGGGGTTCCCCTAGAGACCTCCTACTGAATTGCTCCTGGGAACACACCTGTCAGCCTGACCCTTTCCCCCACAGTTCTGACCAGCCCTGGAGAGCAATGGTGGTCCCATTGTTAGGGCAGCTTGTGGCTTAATGGAGAGATGTGCTTCTGGCACCAAAGTTAGGACTTTAGGTTCAAGTTCTCCCACCGGGACCCAGTTAGACATAGCAGTTAAATTGTATAGTATGCACTTAGTATGTTCTTGAGTGATTCCAGATAGCTGAAAGGTTTATAGCTGTAACCTCTTAAGCTTTTTTGTTTTTTTGTATTATAGGTTTTCCTATTCTTTGTAAGAGCATACTATATATCATTTAGCTTTTTTGTGACAATTACAAATGACCATTGCAGACCTTACTTTAATGAATGAACTGTATTTGTATTATACTGATAGTGGGCATTTTCTTTAATTTCCAAATTGGGGCAGTGTTTTTGATAAACAGGGTTAATAGATAACTGAATTCTGTAATGAAAATAACCATATATCAGCTACAGTTATATTTTAGCCAGCTTTTATGAGTTACTCAGGATACCTGAGCACATTTTTACTATTTTTGTAGGAAAAGAAACTCTGATTTAAAATAATGGAAAATAAGCCCCTTTATCAGGTCAGGACTGCTCTCATGTCTTTTTATAATCTCTGTGGGATGTGCTTGTATATAATGGGGGATACCCCTTTATTTTACTTACATTTTATAATATTATCAGGACTTAAATAATATCGAAGCTCGGGGTGAAAATGTGCCTGTAAAAAACACAAGGGCGCCATATTTTTCGGCCCATAAGACGCACTTAGATTTTAGAGGAAGAAAATAGGGGAAAAAATTGAAGCAAAAAATGTGGTAAAACATTTAATAACATAAATAACATAATATTTCACCAATGTAAATGCAAACAGAACTCAACAGCAGCATTAACAACCATTATTCCTCCCAAATTTCGAGGGGCAAGGGTACGTCTTATAGTCCGAAAAATACGGCATTGGCTAGTAAGGGTGGTTTTTTCCCTCCTGGCCTGTGTTGAAACATTACTTGAGTTAAGTTAAAATGGATGAAGTGACATCAGTCAACATTTCTGCTTAGTGTATAAGTTCTGTTAATTTTCCATATTAAGAAACTCAAGTTTCTCCACAATGCAAGATTTGCTTCTAAGTCAGAATTTTCTTTCTGCTGTTTCAGGCCGGAGCCTCAACAGAAAGCTCCCTTAGTTACTCCACCGCCACCTCCGCCACCACCGCCACCTCTACCAGACCCCACGCCTCCAGAGCCAGAGGAGGAGATCCTGGGCTCAGATGATGAGGAGCAGGAGGACCCCGCAGACTACTGTAAAGGTGTTGTGCTTGCCTTCCCTGCTGAGCCCCTCTATGATTTATTTTAGGAATGGACAAGGGGAGTTAATGATTCAGATTACTTGGTCTTTATTAAATTAGCCTCTTGGTGTCATTATTATTTTAAATTCTTAGATCATTAAATATTGAATGATACCCGAGTATGTAAGCAGTATCAGGAGGAAAATTGTTGAGAGAGAGAAAATATACATAATATATACATACATACTCTGGGTACTTACAGGTGTATTTAAATGTGCTGATAGAATTAAAGATAGTATAAAGCAGGACAATTAAAGATAAAAGCATAATACCCATCCAAAAAGAACACATAGAGTAGAAGGTGCCAGGTTCCTGAGGGGAGACAATATAATGTTGTTCACTGCACTTGGCTTTAAGTTTTCTGGCTGCTAAGACTAGCAAGGAACTGCTCCTTTGTCTGTAAAGCATTGAATTACATAGTGCTCATCGTCTGTGGAAAGAAAGCCTGCTCATTTGTTTATAGAGACAGAGTTTTTTCCTGGCATTGTACTCAATGAAAAAGACATTCTGTGGGTTCTACCATTGTGTGGCATAGTGGATTATGCTTTCAGCTATGATTTCACAGAAGACAGAAATTGTTCTATTAGGGTGCTCTTGTATAAGGCTTTGTAAAGACCAAGAGCATATAGTAAACCCCTAAAAGGCAAGCATGTTGTGTGGTGAAAATTGAGAACAATGTGATCCAGACTCCATACTTTGTGTACACTGGATGCTTGAGAATCTAGGAGGAAGGAAGGCTGCTGTGTCTATTCAGCTGCCTCTTTGTTACCTAACTACTCATTTGGACTTCAATTACCTCTAATAGAAAATTATCAGTCTCTGGGATTCTGAGCTTCTGAACATTTGATGAGACACTTACTACAGATAAAGGGAAAAGTAAGTCAGATTCTGTGCAGCGCAAGACTATATGGCAGAAGATGCACACATTCAGGCCATAAAGCATTAACGAATCTTTGGCTCTATAATATCCTTGTATGAATTTATTTAGTGATTGCAGGCCATTTGTGTGTTAGTTAAGGAACATTGTACTTTTTAGTTACCATTAAGAGGGAGAGAAAGTTACCATTCTGCTTTGAAAGTTTAAGAACTAATCTTCACTCTAACCTGATTGCTCCATAGGTATGGGTTTCTATGTGCAGACTGTGTTTTCCTTAGAAAAAGGATTGTGGGTCTTTAGCATTTGTATGAGTAATGATTATGACCCTAAAGGTTTGTGCCATCTACTATGAAAAAGAAGGTACAGAGACAGTTTGGGAAGGTAAAAAGATGATGTTTTTCATCTTCCTTCTTAATCTGCATTTCTTGACTTGGAAATTAAGTTTGAAGAGGAGATGTGGACAGTTGTCTTTTGATTTTGCTGCTTATGCACAGCATTGAGGTCACCTGTAGGAACAGTTATCTTCAGCACACAGGCTTCATTCACCATGTGGGAATGAGAACGGCTTGCTTTGCACCTGGCAGGAGATGATGGATCAGGAGATGTAACCAGTACTCTCATCCCCATACCACCTCTGCGAATCAGCTCTGTGGGTACTCCAGGCCAAATTACAGGGCTGTGAATGAAGAACTCCACAGTTGGGTCTGATTCTTGGTAATATTCACTGAACTTGAAACATCTTAAGAGTATTAGGTCAGCCTCATAGGGCATGTTAGAGATGGTAAGGTTCTCTTCTTACATTCAACTCACTCTTACCTCTAACTTTGTAAGTAACTGTGCCTCTGATTAACATACATGCAACAGCTGCCATTCTCTGAATTTTGTGCTATAGACCATAATAGGTTATCTAAGATAACTGACATAAATGCATGTGAGGAGTCCGTGGAATTGGGAATGCCTGGTAGGAGAACTGCGGCCCTCTCCCCGGCTTCTCTTCTCTTCCCTCTGAATAGAACAGGGAACTTCCCACCTCCTCTGAAACTAGGTGAGTTTAAGTTACCAACATGATGCTTTATCAATCCTGTATACTTTAGTATATTTTGCCTGCAATCTAGTACATTCTCCTATGTAACCACAATACAACCACCAAGATCAGGAAGTTAGTGTTGATTTATTTCTATCATTCAATCCTCAGATCCTATTTAGGTTTTGCCAGTTGCCCAATATTGTTCTTTATGTGAAAACTAACTTTTGAAGAGTCACGTTACATTTTGTTTTCTTGTTTCTTTAGTCAGTTCCTTAGTCTCTTCTGGACTTTTACAACGTTTTGAACATTGTAGACTGGTTGTTTTATAATATGTTTCTTAATTTTCAGTATTAAAAAAATCTTTTCAGGTAGTGCATGGTTTTGATTTATACCGTTACAGTTGAGGTCAATCACTTGTTTAAGATGGTGTCTGCTGAGTATCTGCAACCTGAAGCTACTCTTTCTCCCTGGTAATTCATAAGCATTTTGTTGAGAGTTACTATTTAAGTATCCTTTAATCAGCAAATCAACTTCTTTCTTCCTTTTCTTTTTCTCCCTCTAACCCATCTATCCCTCTGGTTCATCTCTCTGTCTTTCTGTCTCAGATGGACTCATTCATGGATTTCCCTGTTACTCAGCCAGTTATAATCAATTATTCTCCTTTTTTGTTTTGGTGTTTGGATTACCCCAAATTTGGCTGTTAGGAGCCCCTTCAGGTTGGTTCTACATTCTTTTGAAATGTCCCTGTCATCCTTTGAACACTTTCTTACTTTCAAGTACAATCTTGAATTTTTCCAGCTCCAGCCCTATAATCAGCTCTTTCTACAAGTGGAGAATAGTATTTAGAAAGCAAGACCTGGGCCATTACATGTGATTATTGCTATTGAGGTGTCATTGCTTCCAGATTGCTCAGAGGTACACAAACACATACACACTTGTTTTACGTTTCTATACCTCTCTCTGTCTGCATTTCTGTATTTATGTACATACTAAAATCCATGAGCTTAATCTGATATCTCTAATTTCACTCTAATACCAGAGGAGTCAGCCCAATTTTCTCCCTTTCTATATTTGTAATTTCTTTCTTTGACAGTAAGAGACTAGGCTGTCATTATCCTCATCATATTTACTGATCTGATTAATTCCCTTGTATGTAATGAGTCACCCATTGCTGTCACTGGGCATCTCTTCCCTTTCCTCATCAAACTTGTACTTAGACATGTTTTGTTGCTTGTCCCTTTTTAATGGCTGTGGACTGAATTGTTCAGGAAGGGTGAAGGGGCAGGATGACTTTCACTGTTTAAGGCTGTTTTACTTAAGCTGTTGAGGTGTCTTGTCTCTCTTGTCTATCACTTCACCTGGTCCCCTGGTTTTCTTTGACTCATTTCTGGGGAACCTTTGCCCCACAGTACTCTCAAAGTAAACAACAACAGCGACAAAACATAACACATATTTTATCTTTTTACAAAAGAAATATTTGTTTGTCACAGGAAATGCATAGATACGGTGGGGGGTGGAGTCACAGTTCCACAAACAGCTGTAGAACGCATTTGGGGCATTGCCATTCTGCATCATTTATGATCAGCTAAATTTCATCTTAACTTTTTACCTCTTTACCTAAAATTGTTTCCCATTCAAAACTTGTGAAACCTCAGACATTTAAACAAAAGGCCACTATTTAAAGTTTTAATACTGCTAATGATTGTTGCTTCTTTCTACTTGTCATTCTCTTTGGTGTGGAGCTCTTCTTTAATTCTTATCCAGCTTGTTCCTGCCCATCTTCTTTTTAGCTCTCCCACTGAATCCAAGAGAATCATGGACTTTGGTGTCTGAGAAACCTGGGCTCAAAACCTGGCTCCTTAACTCTGTATCCTTGGATGAGTTTCTTACCTCCTAGGCTTTAGTTCCTTCATCTATGATACAGTACCTCTTTAGTATAATGTATAATACCATCTTATCACCTAAGATTTTATGAAGAATAAAATGAGAAAAATATGTAAAGTATGTGGCATACTACTTTGACACACAGAAGTTTTTTCAGAAGTATGAATTTTACTGTCTTCTACCCTGTCTTTGTTCCATCATTCTCCTCTCAGCTGTGTTCCCATCTGGACTTTGATGCTGTACCCATTCATGCTGGTTCCCTTCATGGTCTAACTGCCTGGCTGTGGTGGGTTTGTTTCCCTAGCCTCTGCAGAGAGAGAGAGCTGTCAGCATTGCTTTTCTCTCTTCCTGTCTTATTTCCTTGTCACCTCCCTCAATTATCTGGGGCAGGAACTGTAACAGCAGGCTTCCAGTTTACTCAGACTTCTGCTTCCAAGCCTAGAGGATAAGGAGGGTCAGGTAATGGGTCAGCCTGTAAACAAACACTTCCAGGAGGCCCTTGTGTAATGTGTGCTCTCTCGTGAGCTTGAGCATAAAGCCTTGCCAGTGCAAAACCTCCTCCTGTGAGGAGATTTTAGTGGAATGTGGGTTTTCAGAGTGCGACCTTTTTACCACCTGCAGCAGAATCTCTGTGGGTGCCTGGTAAGCACTCCTTGGCTGTACTGTAAATCCTGCCTTCGAGTCCCTGGGGGTAGGACCCAGACTCCAAATGTTTAACAAGTTCATTAGGTGGTATTTCTGCACATTGAAGCTAAGGCTGGCTCGTCTAAGGCATGTACAATTTCTCTTATACTCCACAGAAGTGACCCTTCCCTGTACTTGTTACTCTATGACTGATTCACTGTGTAAGAGAAGTGACTGCTTTGAATTACCTATGTTCCAGAATTTTTTCAGAACCTTCAGCACATATTTGCTACGAGGACCAGTACATGGTGACAATAGGAACAATTCTTTGTTACATCATGCTGCCTGCAATGACTGGCTCCTCAGAGATCCTGTTTTTGTGGCTCTTCTAAATTACTTGTAGATAATTTGCACATTTTACAATTTCATCATTTTTTTTTCTGGAGACATCAATTTCAACATAATTATGATCTGACTTGGTACTAAAACGTGTTATTTTCTTAGAAAGGCCTTCTTTTAATCCCTAATCACATCTTAGGAATCACATCT